ATAAAGAAAATTTTATATTAATTTCAATAATCGTAAACAGTGTAAATTTCGTAAAATTGATATCCAAATGGTTTCAGTAGAAAAATGGACAAACTACTTCCAAAAATTTCATGGTTCAAATCCCAGTTGTGTTTTTGCACACACAAAAAGAGATAGCAGAAAAAAATGTGCAGCTAATTAGACAGGGTCTCAAACCTGGAATCCTCAGAAAAATCGTTTTATAGCTAAAATAGCTGCATTTCCAAACCGCTTACATCTTTTGTCCTTTACTATTAACCCTTAATAAATATCAAGAATTATTCAAAATGAATAAATAAGATTATTCACAGGTAACTCTGGATACAGAATCTGGAGTGATTATCATGCATTGTTAGATATAAAAATCTAAAGATAATTCTTAATGAAATCATATGACTAATGAGAAATGTTACAGTGAATATGTGTACCATCAATTTTCTTAATTTAAGTCTTTGCCTCATTCTCCTTATTCTGGTGAAAATATGTAATGTACTAACTTGTCCAGCTTTAAATTTGAAAATCTCCATTATGAACTTAAGGGATTTATATATCAAAATAATAATAATAGGCCACAAGCTGTCTGTATTCTGGTTTAATTGAGAGGATGTGCAGACATGCCTGGTATTATACATTTAATTGGCATTGACAAATACGTTATCGCAACTAATATTTTATGGAATGAAATACTAAATAATGATGAGCACTTACCCTGTTGGCATATTTTAGAGCATTTAAACTCTCGTCAAAGTTTGCTGCTGATGGACTGACACAACATATCATCAATGTTTGTGCATTTCCTCCCAGTGAATCCTGGAAATATATGACAAAGAATTGTTTTCTTGTACCACATACAACATTTTGACAACAAAGCTCTTCCATAGTTTGGTAGCATTACTTGAATTATCACATATAGATATAGTGCACTAATAGAGTGAGCTCAAAAAACTTAATAGAAAAGCTAAATTGGCATAATCATTGGTTTGGCACTCATGATTATGCAGTACAAACAGTGTAAGTTTGACTGTGATTATCATTGAATGAATGACCTTTGGAGCGGGTCAGAAATCAAATTATGATTTATCTGTAAGACATTTATTCAATTACCATTCTAATACTATTCAAAATTGCACTTTATTTCACAAACCTGTGGAAAAAAATTCACAATTTGAAAAGAGATTTCACCAAATTTCAGCTTTGTCTTCGAACTTAATTGTTTACCTTCTGGCAAAACATGATTTTCGCCAATTGCAAACACGTTAACAGTTTACATCGCACACAGTTTCCTATTTCAATATGTCACGAACTGGCAAATATTATGTCATTCTATCACAATTTTATGACATATCACTCTTTTTTCACAAAATGAACAGGCCAAGGCCCCTTCACAATTTTGACAAAAAATGCCATGAAGAAAAATTTTATAATTCATTGTTAATCACTAGGAATAACACTATAAACATGAACATACCTTGAGCAATCTGGTAATTTTGGATTCTCTGTAAGGGATATGTGTTGATTTTTTCTTTGGGTCTCCTAAAGCACTTATAACATTACCCAGTGCCAACAAACCTGAGTTTATATGTACAGATTCTGTAATGATAAATAAAACCAAGCTTCACAAATAGCTCAAATATGTTTAACAGCACTGTAGTTATAAAAGAAGAATTCTGTTTTTCAAGCTTTAAATTTTGACCATAGTAAAACCATGGTTATTTATGATACAAGATCTAATCATCTGATTAGCCTATTTAAAATAAAGTAAAATACCGATTCAGGATCATTCACAGAATCAGTATTAAAATTGCATTTATCATATAACTTGCATTAAAGATTGTGACAGTTTATATGGCTCAATGTAAATTGTTTTCGGGTTATATTATCTCAGCTGCAAGGCAATGGTTATATAGCAAACATGTCTATACACTGCAATATAACAAGTCTAATGCTTATATGATAAATTTATAAAATATTACACAGTTGCTTTTCTTGACAAAATCAGAATTAATTCATAAAATTGCAGAAAAGATGTACAGATCAGAATCAAAAGAAGAAAATTACATTTTTAACTTTCTCCGTTTATTCTTCTCTTGACCTTCTCTTTCTGAATACAGAGCTTGGAGTATCTGATGAAAATCCACTATTACAAACATGTATAATTATAAGACCCTAATTACTCAATACACAAAAATACATCAAAAATCATAATAAACTTTGTATCAGATAGTTAACTAATTTTGAAAAAAAATTGTTAAGAGTTTACTTATTTTAAAGGTATAATAAATTTCTAGCTTTTTTTATTAACTTACCTTTAAATCTGTCTCCAACATTACCAGTTTTGTGTGCCCTTTCTGACCCTGCTAGATCCACAAAATGAAACTTTCCAAACATGTTGTGGTTCATTTCTGAAAGAAACAGTATTTACTTATCACATATTAATATTGAAAATAAAAAATACATCATTGTAAATAGGGTTTAAAACATGTCTTATCACAGAAAAATATGGAGAAAAGTGGTATTTCTTATCAATTTGTTTAGTTTGCTTTCTCAGCTGGTGTTCATGATGACTAGTTATCATTCAGGGCTTTTTTTCACAGGTTGTGGAAGCAGCCCAGCCCTTAATTTTGGCGAAAAAATACACGGTATATTTGCAAAAGGGGAAGAAATTACTTGATGTAAATTCAATTTTTTGGGAAAACTGCATGATTTTAAAGAATTTTTCTTTGGGGGAAGCAGCCCTATACCGGCCCCTGCTATAGAAGGAACAAAAGCCCTGTCATTATAACTTATAATCAGTCGATCTTAACACACCAGATCCAATTACACTTAAACCTATCCATAATATGGGAAAAACATACAGCAATTGTATTTGAAAATACAATTATGTTTTTTGATAATATGTGTCTGTAAAAAAAAATAAACCCTGCCAATAATCTGTGCATATGCAAGTTATGGTGAAATTTTATGAAAATTGAAAATTATTGGTAAAAGTCATATTTCAAAATGTGAAAATGATGCTTATATGAAGAGAGATGTTGAGTTCAAATAAATATGATAGCTCTACTTCATGGATGAAGATGGTGTGTCCCCTTTTTATCAATCAACGCACATGCATAAAAAATTGTGACATGATTTATTCCAATTCTTCATCTTTGAATATGAGATAATGAAATAGTCTTGAAATACACGCCAACTGCATCTTAAACTGTGGTAATGTGAAGAAAAAAGTTGTGATTTTCACAACAACAAAACTGTGACATCATATTCAAACATAGTTCATTGCGTGATAACATACCCTTATCTATGTCTGCACTATACAGCATGTCTACATAGAGAAACATATAAAGCAGAGAACTAATACAAATTTACATAAAATAATTTTCATGCACAAATAACGTAAAGCTAATTTGTATATGTGAGGCGGTTTCAGTCTCATATATTCAATAAAAAAACATTTAACTAAATCCATACCCTGACACTCTCAACTGATAAACTTCACCACTTTAAACAGCAATTGCAGGGATAGAAGGGGGGGGGGGGGGAAAGAGTGGACACAATAGTCCTTTAGACATTACTTTTAACCAAAATATCGATGGGTATCCATACATTTACACTATAAATGTATTGAAGTACAAGAACTACAGACATTTCTGTAAACTATACTTACAAGTTAAAGTTGTTGTCTAATTATCATAAACCCTTTGAAAACATGATCCAGAAGCTTTAAACCAGCTTTTGCTACCTATACAGGTGTCAGGCCAGCCAATGTGTGTGTGCAGTCAGACAAGATACGATAAAGTTGGCTGACCAACTTCAAACTTTTCTATCTTGATCTCACCAAAATTGATAACAGCAAACAGCCAAAATTTAAATCAGGACAAGTTTATTTAAGAAATTCAGCATGTATTACCGACTTTTATGTCACACTTGCAAGATTTATAATATAAATTAACCTGCATGGAGTGGAAAAATTGATCAAAATACATAGGAAGTATATTAGTATAGTAAAGATACTAACCATTTTCAACATCATCACAATCATCATCAGGTTTCCTTTTACTGGCTAACACATCATTCTCTGTCCAGGTTTGACCTAAAATAATATATTAAATACTATACCCAACAAATACACAATACATGTACATAATTTAACAAGAGCGATCAGTAATCACATGTGTCGCCTCATGATGGCCAATTTCATATTGGGACAAATTTTGTGACAGACGGACAGACAGACGGACAGTGCACAACTAGACTTGGTACTGATCATTCCTGTAAAGTTTGGATAAAATTGCACCAGTAGTTAATGAGGAGTAGTCCGGAAAAGCTTTTGCGTATCTGGCAACACACAGAAAAAAACACCTTTTTATCAAAGGGCCATAACTCAGCCAAAAATCATTCAACCAGAAAACCTGTGCAATATGCGCAAGGACTTGAGCTACAGATCAATCCTGTAAAGTTTCATTGAAATTGCATTAGTGGTATAAGAGCAGTAGTCCGAACAAACTTTAAAAATAAAAATTATTAAAGGGCCATAACTCTGACAAAAATCATTGAACCGAAAAATGCTGACAATATGCACAACTAGACTTGGTACTGATCATTCCTGTAAAGTTTGGATGAAATTGCACCAGTAGTTTATGAGGAGTAGTCCGGACAAGCTTTTGTGTATCTGGCAACACACAGAAAAAAACACCTTTTTATCAAAGGGCCATAACTCGGCCAAAAATCATTCAACCGGAAAACCCGTGCAATATGCGCAAGGACTTGAGCTACAGATCAATCCTGTAAAGTTTCATTGAAATTGCATTAGTGGTAGAAGAGAAGTAGTCCGGACAAACTTTATAATTAAAAATTATTAAAGGGCCATAACTCATTGAACCGGAAAATGCTGACAATATGAACAACTAGACTTGGTACTGATCATTCCTGTAAAGTTTGGATGAAATTGCACCAGCACTTTATGAGGAGTAGTCCGGACAAGTTTTGTGACGGACAGACAGACGACAGAGAAGGCGACGCAACAATAAGAATAATATTCAAGAAAAAAGTGGAAAATTTCTCTGTAGAAATCTCAATAAATAACAGTTTTATGTGTAGGACTGAACAGGTAGAAAACAAATTTCCATAAACAGAACTGGTGGTGATGTTTTGTTTTTCTTCATAGATTTTGATTTTTAATAACAATTTGCATAAGAGATTGAACAAAGGTGTCACTTTGTTGACTAAGACTATATTATATTTACCTATTGTTATAGTAAAGATAGAATGAGATCTACTGGAATGCTCGTTCATGTTTGTGGCTCCGGTGTGCCGCGCCGCTGACCCAGTTTCTAATAGTGACATAACCTCATCGAGGCTCTCACATTCAACTTCACGTGCACCGATGATGACTAAAATATAAACACAACATTAAATATACAGCCGGGGACAACCAAGATACTATCTAAAGAGCAGATGGTTTTAAATCCTCTAGATAAAATTTAAAAATAACTAGAACTGCCACTATCATGGCGTGAATACCCCCGCATACCACTTTGTCAGAATCAACAGTGGCCATTTAGAGCTCAAGGACAACCTCCCTGCCAAATTTTGAGGTTACTAAGCCAGTGCATTGCTAAGTTTTGTATTCTACATGCTTCAAATGTGAAAATGTCAAAATCAATACATTGCGGACAAGACATTCTTTAGCAATTGAGAAGGAAAGCTTTTTTTTGTCAAGGTTCCTATGACCTTGACCTTTGACCCAGTGACCTCAAAATCAATAGGGGTCACCTTAAAGTCATGATCAACATACATGCCAAATATAAAGACTGTGGGTCAAACGAATCTTTTTTGAAGTCAAAGTCCCTATGACCTTGACCTTTGATCCAGTGATCTCAAAATCAAAAGGGGTCATCTACTAATCATGATCAACATCCATGCCAAATATGAAGACTGTGGGTCAAAGGAATCTAAAGTTATTGGGCAGACAAACTTTTTGAAGTCAAAGTCCCTGTGACCTTGACCTTTGACCTGGTGACCTTAAAATCAATAGGGGTCATCTACTAATCATGACTTACCTCCATTCCAAATATGAAGACTGTGGGTCAAAGGAATCTTAAGTTATTGGGCGGACAAGCTTTTTGAAGTCAAGGCCCCTGTGACCTTGACCTTTGACCTGGTGACCTCAAAGTCAATAGGGGTCATCTACTTATCATGACTAGCCTGCATACCAAATACGAAGACTGTGGGTCAAAGGAATCTTAAGTAATTGGGCGGAAAAGCTTTTTGAAGTCAAGGCCCCTGTGACCTTGACCTTTGACCTGGTGACCTCAAAGTCAATAGGGGTTATCTATTAATCATGACTAACCTCAATGCCAAATATGAAGACTATGGGTCAAAGGAATCTTAAGTTATTGGGCGGACAAGCTTTTTAAAGTCAAGGCCCCTGAGACCTTGACCTTTGACCTGGTGACCTCAAAATCAATAGGGGTCATCTATTAATCATGACTTACCTCAATGCCAAATATGAAGACTATGGGTCAAAGGAATCTTAAGTTATTGGGCGGACAAGCTTTTTGAAGTCAAGGCCCCTTTGACCTTGACCTTTGACCTGGTGACCTCAAAATCAATAGGGGTCATCTACTAATCATGACTAACCTCCATGCCAAACATGACAACTGTAGGTCAAAGGAATCTTAAGTTATTGGGCGGACAAGCTTTTTGAAGTCAAAGCCCCTGTGACCTTGACCTTTGACCTAGTGACCTCAAAATCAATAGGGGTCATCTACTAATCATGACTAACCTCCATGCCAAATATGAAGACTAAGGGTCAAAGGAATCTTAAGTTATTGGGCGGACAAGAAAAAACCGACGGACAGCCGGCCGGACGGACGGACAGACGGACGGCCAGACGGACGGACAAGCTGATTCCAGTATACCCCCCTTACAACTTTGTGCGGGGGTATAATAAAATGTTTCAGCTTCATCAAACTTTCAGCTACGTACAAGTCAAATCACATATCATTTTTACAAAACATTTAGTTTGGTTTTACTTAACCCACACAGTATAGGTCGTATGGAATTTTCAAGCTTTACTGGTGGAGGAAGATCTCAGGTACCCCTCTGTGCATTATTTCCGACACAAACGGGCACCTGAGTAGAACCACCGACATTCTGTAAAGTGTAAGATAGATGGGTAGCTTCCTCACATTAAAGAATCCAAAGTCCCGATTGAGATTTGGACCAACAGCTGTGAGGGGCAAGTCGTTTGAAGTCAACAAACTTAACCACTAGACCATGGACACCCCTTTTTATAAAACATAAGAAACACATGTAAAGAATGAATTTATGAATTAACTCAATACAGTGTTGGAGCAGCACCTCTAGTCATTATCACAAAATAGACAAATATCTTTTTTTCGCTGATTTTTACATTTTTAAATCATTATCCTATATAAACCGATTTGAAGAGATGAATTAGATGGTTTAAAGTTCATTCTGTTGGGTGAAAAGGCAAGATTTTAGCATTTTATCATTTAACACCTTGTCCGGTATATACCGGACTATGGTGTTTAGCTCCAATCCTTTTTTTAAGTCTCACTTGTAAATATATTACCAGTATTGCCCTTGTCATCCTCTCTCACATGAAGATCTGGTTTATTATCACTATTTAGTTCTAGCAGATCTCTCAGTTCTTCTTTATAAATCTCTATATAAGATACTTTCACTGTGTATGTCACACTCTTATCAATCTGTAGTATAAAATGCCTGGTTATCAACTACTTTCATATGATAAAACAAAACAAAAACATTTTTTCTTCTATAATTTTTTCTTCTATAAACAAAACAACCTGTATGTAATTTACAGAAGTAGATATATCAAACCAGGGCATCATTCATCTATTAGGCCAAACTGCAATTTGTACAAGAGGCAACCAAGTCTTTCGGTAATAAAAAGGGGCATAACTCTGTAAAAGGTAACTTCATTAGTTTTGGAGATAACCAACTTGCATGCAAAAACTTTACCAAAGTGTGATGCAGAGGCTATGGTGCATACAATAGCTTTCCCTATTCTTCAAATAGTCAAGCTACAACATTACAGAAATCGTATATTTGGGCATATAGGTATATGCATAGAACAAAAGTATGGAAAGAAGGACTTGCAAGATAGGTTCAAATAACAATCTATGACCAACAGATAGCCCACAGAGGCTGCAATAAAAAATAATTAAGAAATAGTAACTGTAACATTTCAGTAATACTGCAATTCTGTCCAAAGTCACACATGATTAAGTATGAAGAATGATAGTTTGGTTGCAATTTTTTTGTTGGAAGAAATCAATTTTAGGAAATTAATATCTAATATCTATAGCAAAGTTTACATCACAGCCAAGTTCATTATGCAAATGTTAATTAACCCTTAGCCTGCTGACCGCAACATTTTTATACCCATGGGTCCAGTGCAGATCAAGATCAAGATCAGCCAGCACATCCTTGGTGTGTGATTATGGTATGCACTGTACACTTTTCACTGATTGCAGGTTTTGAAAATATCTCTAAAAATGATGCATGGTTTTGCCCAGATTGAATCTGGGCAAGTCAATCTAAGATATTTAGTGTGGCAAGGGTAAAAAACTTACACTCAGGGTATCAAACATCTGTCTTACTGCCCGTGGTATAATACCATCTTCATCTTCAGTTACAGGTGAGATGTTACCTCCACCTATCGTGTAGGTCTTTCCAGATCCCTGAATATATACAATCAATTTATAATTACATGATTATAATTTAAAAAGTCTGACATTATAAAACACAACAATATATTCAAACATATGCAAAATATGAAAACAATATACAGTTATACACAAGTATGGACATTAACCATTTGAAATCAGAATACATTTTGGAGTCCTTTTCATTTTTCAAGATAATAAGTATCTTTCACATATATGTTTCATATTTACACTTCACAGTTCTGTGTACTCATATTAACAAAACAAGAGTGAATACTTATTCAAAAATGGAAATAGAATGTCACAAAAATGCAACCATTATCTTCAACTGAAAGTGCAGTATCCCTTACAATACATTTACTGTGATATACATCATGACATAATGTTTTTAACCAGACCCACATATTGTCTCTGTCTGCCCCATTTAATGTGCTTTTGATTTGATGTGTTGTTGTTGAAATATAGCAGAAAAGAATTAAGTTATAATTGATGGAAAATTTTTTGTACAGTTCATTCCTTCCTTCACCTTATTGTTTAGAAGCCTAACTACCATGTGTTATCTGTGACATTTTGCTAAGAAACAAATTAAAAAAAAAAAACAAATTTAAAACTAAAACACTTACTAACAATAACTTAACACTAATTTATAGTATGTATTTACTTACTGTTTGGCCATATGCAAACACCGTAGCATTGTAGCCTTCAAATATAGACTTGACAAGATTCTCTACACACAGTTTATATACTTCCTCCTATAACAATATAGTAAACCAAGATAGTCAGTAAATTTATATATACATGTAGATAACAGTATTTCCTTTCAATAAATTACAATTTATTAATCAAAGACAAATATCATTTCAGCATAAAGCTATTGTGATTGCAGATATAAAGTTTCTGAGAGACCAGGTATACATTAATAAATCAAAATTTCTACAAAATAAACAGAGGTCATGTTAGAAAAACTAAAAGCATTTTATTACTAATAAAGCATATTTAAAAGAATAACTTGAATTTTCATACAAGAGCTGTCGGTAGGACAGCAAAGCTCGACTATTCTTAGTGCTTGATAGTAAAAAAAATGCTTGATACAGTTACCTCCTCCTATTTACAGGTTGGGGTCATGATGGTGAACAAGTGTGCAAAGTTTCAAAGCCATATGTCAATGGACTTTGAAAATATTTGAACTATTACAAAAACTTTAACGTAAATTCTAAGTTGAAAAAGGGGTATAATTTTGTCAAAATGCTTGATAGAGTTACCTCCTCCTGTCTACAGGTTGGGGTCATGATGGTGAACAAGTGTGCAAAGTTTCAAAGCCATATGTCAATGGACTTTGAAAATATTTGAACTATTACAAAAACTTTAACGTAAATTCTAAGTCGAAAAAGGGGCATAATTCTGTCAAAATGCTTGATAGAGTTACCTCCTCCTGTCTACAGGTTGGGGTCATGATGGTGAACAAGTGTGCAAAGTTTCAAAGCCATATGTCAATGGACTTTGAAAATATTTGAACTATTACAAAAACTTTAACATAAATTCTAAGTCGAAAAAGGGGCATAATTCTGTCAAAATGCTTGATCGAGTTACCTCCTCCTGTCTACAGGTTGGGGTCATGATGGTGAACAAGTGTGCAAAGTTTCAAAGCCATATGTCAATGGACTTTGAAAATATTTGAACTATTACAAAAACTTTAACATAAGTGGTTACGCCGACGCAGACGCCGACACTGACGCCGACGCTCGGGTGACTACAATAGCTCTACTTATTCTTATCGAATAGTCGAGCTAAAAATTACCTGAATGACATACATGTAAATGTATTATTGGCATTCTGGTTATTAATAATATTAATAGAAAACTTTTCTATGCAAGACTAGGAAAGACAGTGATACCTGAGTACTTTTTGGTGATAGCACTTCATCAAAAGTGAATCCACGATCTTTCCCAAGGATCAACTGTTTAGTTGTTGGTATTATCTTCAAACACATGTCATCACCGCCAACTTTCTCTTTTGGCAACATTGGCCGCACCTTTGAATATAACACATCTCATAATAGTTACTTTCTAATGTACATGTATATACTCTTATTTTGCTAAATGTTAAAGAATCATAAATATACATTCAACTTGGTAGTTTTCATTGCAATAATGCAATTCAGCATGAATAAAAAAATTGAGCAAAAATAAATGTTAACAATCAATGTATTTGTATAAATGATAAAAACTGTCCAAACAAACAACATAAAAATAAAGATTGAGCAATAATAAACTACATGTATACAATTATATACAAAGCACAATTTATAAACATTAACACTAAATGTCAGTAACTGATAAAAATTGTTTGAACAAACCATATTAAGAATTTTTTTCTATGTGTGCATAACACTTTCAAGCAGCATGCTTCCAGTTTAGTGAAAACATTTCAATAAATTAAACTTGAGAAAAATGTACTAAGATTTTAGAAAAAAGTAGAAAGATTTTCATGAAAATAAGCATTTATCTGGAGGCGTGCTGCTTTCAAATACTACTTTGAGTTTTCTTTGGTTAAAAAAACATTCTGGGTGTTAGAAATTCTTACCCGGACTGCAACTCGCACATTCACCTCCTGCATTGTCTTTTCCTTTCCTTCCATTGTTCAAGTGTTGATTATACCTGAAAGAATCAAACAAAACTATTTTAGTTAAAGAAACAAATTCTGTTGACACAGCAATGATCAAGCATCATCTGTAAGGATGCACAAAGTTCCAACCAACCAATTTTACTGATATAACTACATGTAGCTTTTCAACACTTGGAACTGTCTGAGGTCACTGGGAGAATATTAGACTGGATACTTCGAAAAAAACAAGGCTGGTACATTTGACATAAAAAAAATCAGGGACCTCTAATTTTAGGAAATGATTTTTTAATTCAAAAACAGATGTCCTGTTGGGATTAGCCCGGGGTTCTATGATATCATGGTACTTAACATTTATCGGAAAATATTTAAATACAAATATCATAAATGAATGAGATTTTTCTTCCATCTTATAATTGAACCTTTTCCAGAACTGTTTGTAAAAAAATTATTTCAAAAGAACCAATAAAAATGACATTTTTTAGAATATTTTCAATGTCTGCCATTTTGGGTAATTTCAGAGGAGGTTACTATGGTATCAAGGTAATCCCCAAAAAAGCATGTATGGAAGGATAGATGGGTCAAAACTTTCAAGTTAAGGTGTGAAAAACTTCCAACAGTTATCTTGCTATAAAATTAAAACTATATGAACAGATTATATGTCAGCTAGTATATGTGTTTGTGACATATTTTAATTGACTGTGTAAAAACCATTAAGGAAAATGGTAGTCAAATATGAAGGTTTTATAGAAAAGTTTTCTTGCCACAAAAACATTCATTATTCACCAAATTTAATTTATTGGCAGATGAAAATGAATCTAGTGTGCAAGTTTTACAAATATTAGCATCATCATGTGTTGCTTTTACTAGCAGTCACAGAAAATTTAAATACCTTGATATCATAGAACCCTTGATATCATAGGAACCGAGTATACTGGCAGAAAATTTCACCCGTGAACAAAACAAGTTTGACAATTTGAAAGGATGATGGAGCATCAGTTAACCATTTTTATCATTCGGTTGTTTATCAAATAAGAATGACTTGTCTTTTAACTTGTCTTAACTAACTGCCACTCCTAACAATAATATCATTACAAATATCCTCTTGTTACCTATAGTGCCATTAGTGGGTGGGGTGTGAAAAACTGGTGAAACTAACAAGAAATTTGCTAAAGGTAAGGAGGAATCACCAGGAAACATGCATTGCATTTTGAAGTACAATATAGGCCTGATCAAAATCGCTGTCAAATTTACCATGCTCATTTGTTATGTGGAAATGTGATGATTAATCTTTTCACAAGTAACGATGTAAACAAAAACAAATTCCTGGCTTGTTCTCTCAATGCGCATGTGTTGGAATGACACTAATATTCGTTCTGCACGTACTTTATGGCAAGGCTAAATGCCGTATATGACTGCACTACCTACAAAGGAAAACACGGCACCTACTAACTTCTTTATTTCTCAATCAATTTTTATAATGTTGGTATCAAATGAAAGATTACTTCATAAACTTTCTAGTATTGCCTTATAATAAAAATGAATTACGTAAAAAGATTAAATTTATTGTTTCAAATTTACATTTTATTCCCCCCTCTGAAAAGCATTCTCTGAAATTCGGTAAGAAAACGGCGCCCCTACTAACTTCTTTGTTTCTTATCCAAGTTGGATGTTAAATAAAAGATCACTTTAAAAGCTTTCTAGGGATACCTTTCAATTAATAATTAATATAGTAAGTGTATTAATTTGTTTTTGCTTCAAAGTTTCCTTTTTTATTCTGAAAACCACAATCTGCAATTTGGTACGAAGAAAAAAAAATACTAGATCTAACTACTTTATTCCTATGAATACATTTAAACTATTTTTCAATTAAGAAGTATTAAACATTTTGTTAGTTTTATCTTTTTTCCTTTGAAAAAACACAGCGCTAAGTTTTATTGAGAAATAGGGGGGAGACGCCGGGTTTTTGACTCAATTCCTTGAATATATGAGACTACATACGTTTTACTTAACCAGTAAGCCTGTCTAACCAAACAATGTAGAGAAAATCTTTATTTTCATTAACTGTATTGTAACTACATAAATTATGTCATTATAATGTAATAGTTTGATACTTACTTGTGATCTTAAACCATAGAAGGAATTCAGTCATGACAAATTATGGTATAAAATCAGTTCACATTTAGCTAAACATACGTGTATTGCTGTTGTTTTTGTTGTTCAGAAGGCAGTTTTTAAATCATCATCATCATCATCATCATCAACAACAACATCATCATCATCATCATCATCATCATCACCAAAGTGTACGGATAATTATACAACAGTGATTCCCCTTGGTACACGTACGCCGTAGAGAAGGCACATGTCATTGGTAGAGTATTTGAAGATATTGGGCGGCAAAATAAAAAAAGCTGAAACATGTAGCCTGCAGACCTGCTGTCAGTATGCTGGATAAAGGCGAGGGGAGTGACCCTACAAAATAGGCAGGGACAACAAGGAAGGATGTTAGGGTGTTTAAGCCACTTGCATGAAGTGAAAGCTTGACAGACATGCTCTCTTTGCTTAGCACCAAGAGCCCTTTTCGGGGCTACCTGCATTTCATATTCTCTCAGGTTACTGTACATTTAGGTTCTCAATGACCGCCGTACAGCGACCTACTTTTTGGCTCGAAATTCATATCTTTGACAAATACTCCGTGAAAATTGCAAGGGAGGTAAACTATAACCACTTTGTGCTTCAATAGTGACACTTTTAAGGCAAAACTGGTGACATGCCTGGGGTCCGTACTCGCCAGCGCAAGCTGCATTAGTGCCTAAACGGGCGGATGGAACCTAATAAAACATGGGTTAAAAAGAAATGTTTGATTATAAATTACATGGGATTTTTTTAATCAATAAATAAAGTTCTCGTGCATAATTATATATTGTGAACGTTTGCACAAAAGGACCAAAGTACAAAATAATGTTTTAGTTAATGTATTGGTGTATTCAATTCTTTGTTTGCACACGTTACACTTTATACACACAATACAATATCACAATCATTATATACAGTCTTTTTTTTCGAATATTCACAATATAATATTGGGTGCTTAAGTTTATGTTTTGTTAAATTACCAAATTTAACAAAAATAGTTTTTTTTCTTACACTACGAGCTTATGGAAATATTGGTATGATTGTAAATGGAAGTTCATTATTTGTAACAACTTCAGACGCATAGAACATAATATTTTATTGGTATTTTCCCGCCATTTTTACTTTTGATCAAACACTATATTGTTAAGATGTACGTGTACTGCTAATGTAGTTATTTTACCAATGATCTTTTGTCCCATTTCAAGTTCACACGCAAACACAACATTCCAAACTTTGTTATCATATGAAATGACAATTCGAAATCTTGCCAAAAATGAAGTTTGTATTACCGCAATACGAAAGTAAAACTATCGACCCTTTCATTCAGTTTATGCAAGATCTACAAATATTTTAACACTAAAATATTTCTTATAGCATTTTTAAAATCATTTGGCTGTCCTTACTTAACTGGTGCAATGGCATGAAACTTTAAACCTATTGTAAAGTGGATACGCTAAAAGAGCATAATTAATTAAGGTCACGCTGATAAAACGAAACAAGTAAAATCTGATAAATGATTTTTATTTCATACAGACGAAAATGTTAAAATTTGAAATGGCGTAAAGATATGTTATTTAATAGGAGTATATATCATATACTTATATATGCTTTATGTCATATAATGTATATAATAGTTACGATGATGTTCATAAATGTTAAATAATGGTTCACTTTATACTTGACATTTCAGATCAATTTGAACAATATGATATGTTTAAATATGTATAGAAAACCAGATCAAATTAAATTTATCACAAAATCAAATCAGTAGAACAAGCAATAATTAATATCGTAATATATTAATAGTTTATTATTAGAACGAATACTGTTACCCAGATTGAGCGTGTAACTGAAAGTCTTTTAGTGTTTGAAATTATTTTTGTCCCATAGGATTGCAATATTCCAAATGAATCGTAACCCATTTACTTTGGTCAACTGGTTAACTATTATTATAATTAGCCTTGTAAGTTAACTGTTTATAAAAATACCTTTTAAAACTGAATTGGCAAGTGTTCATAAATAAGCATTTACCAAATTAAATTGGTCGACCAATTTGATTTTAGTAAATGCTTACTACATTCTTAATGTTTGCAAACTGTTTTTGGAATATACTTTTGGTGAAAACTCAGTTGTGGTTTAATACTGTCTTGTTGTCGTTTTCTTGAGAGTGTAACAGTGTCGTTGTAAATAAGTGAATATCTTCTTTGTTCCTCATTCCAAATATGCAATGGTCCTCTATAACCGTAAATCTTTGGTCTACATTTAGCACCATACGGAGTAAAACAACCATAGAAAACATAGGATTTATCACCAGCGGCAATATCAGGCATATATTCATCACTAACATTACTGCCAATAGTGTCAGATTGATATGTGTGCACTTCAATTTGATCATCACTGTTGATATGTTCGTCGTCGTTGAGTGGATTTACATCACAAGGATCTTGGACATTTCGTTTAGAATCAGAAGTTTGTCCAATAAATATATCTTTCTGGACATCAACCCTATGTGGAGCAGACAAAATACTGTTTGTATCATGTATGTCAACATGTGGAGATGCTTGAGATTCACTTGATATGTTAATGTCGGCATTGTGTTTATTTTCGTTGCATAGATATCTATTAATAACATTTTCGTTGCATTCTTTGAACCTTACACTATTTACCTCATCATTTGTTGGATCTTTGTGTGAAGTCTTTTCATCTAGTATGCAATTGAAATTGACTGAATGTTCCTCACGTATGTGTTTGTCCTTTCCTTGAATAGACACATCCGCTTCTTTAACACAAGTTTCCTCTGTAAAAAAGTCTATCAAATTATCAACTTTTTCTGAATTCAGATCTTCTTCTATAGAAGTAGAATCTCCATCTTCAACATCTAATGCTTTGTTTCCAACTGAACTAAAATCGCTTGCATCAACGCTACATTCTGTGATGGTCATTTCGCCTTTTTCAAAATCCATGTCTACCTCATTTAGCCTTCTTCGTATTTTTGTTTTGTTTGTGGTAGGTTCAACACATAAACTTAGCTTTTCAGCGTTGGTATTAAAATCTGTCACACGTTTATCTCCATCACTTGTATCTGAACCTGATTTACCGTCGTCTGCTGTAGCTGACTCGACTTTGCTCTGCTCAGCATCCGTTGTTAGAGCAGCGCCTGCTGGAAGGTGTGCATCAGAAGCGTTACTTAGATTACAGTCTGCATTTTCCCCCTTGTAAACGACCTGTTCATCAGTTTTAACAGCTGTACTTGATTCATTACTCACGTCTGTATCCAGTTTATCTGAAGAGGTTCTCAGTCCCGGTTGTTTAAAGACTTGACTAAGTCTCCACCGAAGACAAACTGGGTGATTGTTGATAAAAATTGCTCGAGTCTTTAAAATTTCTTTGTTGTTGCTGCTTTTAGGTTTAACCTGAAAATTATGGTTAAAATATTTATATATGTATGTATGTATAAGAATATATTGTTCTGGACTTGAGTGGATTTTGATGGACCAGGGTTGCACGATACTCGAAAACGCCGAGTATGACCGGGCCCAGTTAAGTCAAAAGAACAGAATACAAATGTCAGATCAAGGTACAAGTACTCTTAACAATAAATCTTTCATTATCAACTTCATCATATTTTAATATATATCACCGTTATACGGGATTTCGAACATACATCAGACCAAATTGAATCATGAAATATAAGCAATATTTGTAGTAAAATATATACAGCAATATGATATGTAATAATATCAATATTTGTTGTAGTGTACAAAGTTTGTATCAGTTAGTTTTACTATATCTTTCTTAAATTTAAATGTAATATGTTTCTTTTTTCATCTCTGGAAATGGTAAATTCGTGATATTCTTCTCACATGAAGACATGTAATGAAAATATGTTTGTAATGAATAGACGTTAAATATGACAAAAATTATTCAAAAATACCACGATACCTCTACAACTGCTTGCAGCAAATTCTCGGGAGCATAATGTGCCTCTTTTGAATTCAGATACGTCACCAAACACGCGCCTGCATGCTGAGCCAACTTGATAATCTCTGAATCACCATCAAGAAGACAAAGTTGGTACTCGTATGCCACTGCAATTTCTTGTCCTACAGTATTTATAACAGCTTTTATTTCATCGTCTGACACACCATCTAGATGGTGCAGAACTCGGGCAGCTTTGGTTCTTTGGACAATCAAATAGATCCATCTAAACAATTTCAGTGTACTTAATCGATTCCCAATCTTCCAGAAAGTTTTGTAGACATTTGGAGAGGCGGATTTTTGTCCAATGACGAGCTCGATATGGTCTTCAAAAGATTGTGATCTTGGTAAACTATGGAAGGTATCTTCGTCGCCGCTTTGATCTGAGAGCTGTATACCGTTTTTCAGCAGTATGTTTTGATATTTTGTGATTTTTGTACAAAAATATGATTTCAATGCGGAGCAGAAAAGTTGTTGTCGATGCAGTATGGTTTGTAAATCCTCTTCCATATTTTTTTTTTCAAAATCTTTTAAATATATATTTTATAAAAATATCCAAAGGTTTGGATAGCTATGAACCCTAACACTGCACTGTTTTTCTTGTACTGAAAAACCTGTACGTTGCCCAGCAAACTTGATGTAGAGCATCTTCCTGAAAAATACAAAATCAACCAATTATAAGTAAGTTGAAAGCATAGATCAATGAACTGTCTTATTCTAACTTCATGCATCAGATTAGTAGATACAAACAACATATTTGTTAACAAAAGAGCACGATTAAATCTATTGTTATTCAAATAAAAGGTCAAAGTATGGATCTATGAATAGAATGAGCATCTCAGATACTTTCCTTACATATGTTTGTAAAGTTTAAAATACTATTCATAAAAAAATCCATATTCAATTTAATTTAAAGTGACGCAAAAATAACTATTATTTAGCACATCAATTCATATGTGCCGTGTCATGACAAAACCAACGTAATGTGTTTGCGACCAGCATGGATCCAGACCAGCCTGCGCATCCGCACAGTCTGATCAGGATCCATGCTGTTCGTTTACAAACCCTATAACAAGCAGAGAAACTTATAGTGAACAAGCATGGATCCTGATCAGACTGCGCGGATGCGCAGGCTGGTCTGGATCCATTCTGGTCGCGAATGCATTATGTTGGTTTTGTTATGGCGCGGCTCAATTATTTCATTTTCATGTATACAAATTGACGTGTAGCGAAAACGTAGCACCCCAATACTGTTCACGGCTATAAGTATATTATCATCACATATTTTGTAAAATTTTCATTGATGGTAATATTAATGTTAATACAGCTGTTGCATCTATAATGTCTCATGAAATGATTTAATCTATTGATTATAACAGCCCAGGACAATCGTCATAAGTAACATGATGTTTCCAGCAGTTGTTGTTGTAATTCTTTAATGACGCAACAATATTATTCACTCCGAATTTGTGCAAGTACTTATATATGAATCTGCACTGTTATAATTCATAATTAAAAAACCTCCACTTAATATGTCATCAAAAACAACAACGACAACCACATTTTAGTATAAACGCGTTTCGTATTTTTCCTTTCTCCTTATTATTTGAATAAATAAATACATGTATAACCTTATTTAAAATCAACATCCATTGCACTCCTTGATTCGGAATTAATCCACATTTAGTTATATGTAGATATTTTAGATAACAGCTATTTTAATCCGAGTGTATCAAAAGGAAACTTTCAGTTCTAGAACCATGGTTTATTAAGCTGAAAGAAAACTTTGGTTAACCCCCAGACAGTTGATGAATAAATGATAACAGTCATATACATGTAATTGACCATTTCCCTCACTTTATAATACATCCGGGATATCGATGTTAATTGATGTTGTCTTGTCAGTATGTAGATATAATATAGATAAATATCTTCCATAAACAATACACAGATGTATCTTTTACTTGTTATAGAAGTATTATATAGTAGTATTGATAAGATAAGAATATATAATATATATGTATATAAATGTATCTCGATGTCATTTGAGTCTTGATACACATCAAAAATTTAAAGTTCTATATTAAGCATAAAAATAGTAGTATTTTTATTTTTCAAAATTCTTTTATTTTCTTATGTCCTGTTATAGTTTTTAAAATGTTACTCATTGGCAATAAAGCTGGGCTATCTTTTGTTTGGCAATTAGTACAGTTATAGTGATTTAGTATTTATGTATGGTAGTCAAAATACCAAGTTGTTTACATTTTGCTACCTTTAGTAGAAATTATTTTACATTCGACGATATTTACTCCAGGTAATCAGCACCTAAGATCTTCTAAATCCTTAAATGCAAAAATAAAAAATACACGTGTCTGCCATTTATTGCTACAGAAAAAAATAAAAAAATATACTTTTCATAGGCTTAAGGTGACTTTAACTAATATACTAGGTGGCGCACCATCATTCTTAATTTATGTAAATTATGTTACAATATCTCATGTTTCAAAATGGTTTTATGAAACTGTTATTTTATTTACGTTTAAATCCATAGTAAGATGTATTATTCACAATAATATATAATATTATATGTTTTGTAAATATGAAAGTGGTTTAATCACGATAATACATAAAAAATATAGTTACCTTCATAACTCGTGTCACCAGTATAATTGTATCACTTAACTGTATGCTAATAATAGCTTCAAAAAAATTAAAATAAAAATTAACTGTGACGTGTTACTGCATTTAGTCAATTATACTTCCTGTTTCGTATAAATGTAATAATTGTGGTTGAATAAAAGATTGCAGGACAAAAATGTAATCGGAAATTTGAATCTCGAAGTAACTTGGCTAGTGCAGTCATGTTTTGTTAGGGGTTTTTCCTTGCATGTCATTATCTTCATATGCAACATGCATATGAATAACTAATCGGTAATTGGAAAACTGTCAAGTAAATTATTATATTTATTATATACTTATAAATGAAATTTTGAGAAATATTGGTGAAATAAATGCATAATTTCATTTTCTGTATTTTCACTGTAAAAAAATATTTTTCACTGCGGAGAATCAATTTTTTCCGTATTTTAATTGGTATCTTGACTGACTACTTTCTTCTAAATTCAGCCAATACACAAAATTAAAGTGAATTTCTTTTGAATTGTAAGGTCGAAAGAGAAATAAGGTAAATAATAAACAGAAATTTCAAGTTTTTTCTATCAATACTGGATGGTTTGAAATTAAATTATCATATTTCACTCGTGGCTACCACCGCTCGTAAAATATTTATTTTCATACCACTCGATGGAAATAAATCCCGTATTTATAGAAAAAACTTGAATATCCTCTATACATATGTCTTATAATAATTATGTAAGTTCAAATATTCAACTCATTTTCGGTGAAATAGAATTCGTTAAGTGCTATCACTATGTGCAGAATCTTCTAACTAGAGTATTAAGTATTTGTATTTGTCTTTTTTACATCAATATTTGTAGAAAATGAAATGAAGTAAAATTGATTGGAGAAACATTTACCTTGTTTAGAAATAATCCAGCAGTTGAGTTCACGCTGTTTCTAGAATCGGCAAAATACACGTACTACCAGGACAAAATCAATTATTTGTGAATCAATGGAAATTTATCCGATCAAAAGTGATCATCTGGGTATTGTTACACTATTTTATAACGCTCGATCCCGCCAAAGAAAACATAGAAGATTAGTCACATGTGCTACATATTGATGTAAGGCTGAGGCAATGATTAGTGATCGATTATTTGGTTCTGGTGGTGAACGAAAGTCATGCAGTTCTTTGATTATCTATATGGATTCTTACCGTGTTTTAATGGATTCTTACCGTTTTTTTTTTGTTTTTTTTTTTTTTTTTTTTTTTAAAACGGCAACTTACACAGTTCAGTTCTACGTCAATGATTCAGTTTTCTTTTTGTTGTTCTCCATACTTAATGTTAACATTTTATTTGAAAGTTTAAACATCTGGATATACTTGATACACCATCTGTATATCTTTTGAATACATGCATTGTATTCACCATATTTAATAAAATAAAATCCGCGACATCGGCTTAAAGCATGAAAAATTACGCCTCACCCCTTCAAGTAATACCGCCTACGCACTCACCAAAACCGAAAGTTTGAAACCCAGAAAATCCCGGCACATGAACATAAAGCTATTCTCGAAACATAGAAATACATGTGCAACGACTTCCCTAATACCAATACTGTTATCTTCCGGTCATCGAGGGCAAGACTTTTGATTATGTAAATAGAAATCTGAGTAAATCATTCATTATAAACACAGTTGGATATTGCATTAAGTTACATGATCAGACTTAGTTAAATAAATAAGGATGCAATTCAATTTGGTTTCGAAAAATGTCGCAAATTTTGTATATGACATTTTAAAAAAAAAAAAAAAAAACAAGTACAGTGCAACTTCGACAAAGCACCACCATTTTGAGATCAAAGATTTTCGTTGTTGTTGAGAAATGTTGCTCGAGAGAGGTCAAATTTCTTGTGAAATTTTACATTTGGAAGAAATGACAGTTGTACTAGTATCTCGTGGCCACGACTTAGTAACTCGTGGCCACGACATAGTATCTCGTGGCCACGACTTAGCTATCTCGTGGCCACGACTTAGTAACTCGTGGCCACGACATAGTATCTCGTGGCCACGACTTAGCTATCTCGTGGCCACGACTTAGTAACTCGTGACCACGACTTAGTAACTCGTGGCCACGACATAGTATCTCGTGGCCACGACTTAGTAACTCGTGGCCACGACATAGTATCTCGTGGCCACGACTTAGCTATCTCGTGGCCACGACATAGTATCTCGTGGCCACGACTTAGTAACTCGTGGCCACAACATAGTATCCCGTGCGCAAGAGATAAAACACACACACATGTCACCGTTGTGCCACCGTACACTTGTATTATATATAGATTATATTACACTACAGAGGCCTGCTCTGCAGAAGTTATACTGTATTACGGTATATTGTACACAAATTATGCCAAGTTAAGGGTTTTGCTGTAACAAAGGACGTATTCCAACCAACTAAATGATATTTTTTCAATAACTCATACAAAAATTTACATTCAAAATTATGTTAAGTATGACAAAATCATATATATATATATCCAATTAATTAATTTGAATGAATGGGCGACAACGAATCATGTTAAATTTATACTTTTAAAACATAGTGCAGTCTATTTAGTTCTTATTTGACACTGCATGACAACCAACGATAAAATCTAAATGTCCTTTCATTACATCATGAACTTTTGTGAGGTCATTAACATATGAAAATAGTTTGTACACATAAGATATATTATGTCATGTTTTTTTTCTTCATCTATAAAGAGTATAGAAATATGACAAGGGTAAAAACTTATATTGAATACATCTGACTATTTTTTGAAGGGTCAACGTTCTTCATTACAGGTAGTATAAATGACCTTATAATAGCTAACAATGTATTATACAAGTTTTAAAATAAACCAATTGTAAGCAATAAAGTTTGATGCAGTCTTCTATTTAATTTAACCCATTCCCTGCTACTACCCGTCGGTGTCGTCTGCTCCAAAGGCAGTCGGCGCGTGGCCTTTTTGATAAATTAAATAACTTTGTTTATTCAAAATGTTTTTAAAACATCATATTTTCAGTAAAACAACAAAAGGAAGTTGCTGGGTTTTTTTCATCCATATATACTTTTAATAAAGTATATTTAGACTACCTGTGGTCTGCTCGTGGTCTGCCGACTGTTCGCCATTCAGCAAGTACTGTTGTGTGTGTGTGTGTTTTTCTTCTATTTTTTCCCTAGAACTGATAAATGGTTTAGACAGACACAGCCATTTAAGATATAAAGCTTGGTAAGTGAGTATAGTGGCAGCAGGCTGTATTAAAATATATCAAAAATTTAAAATATTACAAAACAGAATTAAAAGGCACATATACACAGTTTCTGTAATTCATTTTCATTGAAAATTCAGTTAGTTCGCATATAGAATTAGATGTTCAGTATCTCACATTAACTTCGATGTTAGTGTGGAGCTGCAAACATTGATTGTAGTTTGAAAACGTGTACACATCTTACCTTAATTTTTTCTACTATTTAGTGTTAATATAAATGATTAAATATAAGACTTTTCTTTCCATATATAATAAGCGTAAGGGTGTTAAATAATGAACAACGTTTTAAAATTTTAGCTCAGTTCTTTGTACTTTTTTGCGTAAATATTTTATACTGTTTAAGATATATTACTCATTGTACTTCTATATTAATATCTTATATATTTCATAACATCAATTTCTTGTTAGTATACTATTTTTTATCTTAATTTGAAATTCTCTTGTTTTTATTATTTATGTTCTTATTGCAGCATGCTTCTTCAGATGTTATTATTCTTGAATTATTATTATTTATTCTATTATTATTTGTCTTCATTACTGTATGTAAAATATGTATCTTGTAAGTTATTTTAGTGAATAATGGGATATTGATTCTATATTGTATATTAATTTAATATGTTAATTTGGAGATTAATTGTTTTTTTTTTCTTTTCTTTATTTTATTGTTTATATTTATCTTATTTCTATTTTACTGCGTTTCTAGAGTAAGGGCATTTTTGCAAATTGACCTACTTTTGTTTAATTGATCATTGATTAATGTGTAATTTATATGTGAATAATTGCTTCCTTGTTTACTATACAACATTGTATATCTGTTATTTAACATTTCTATAATTTTCTACGTATAAATTATTAGCAAT